TGTTATGCTCAGGAAGCGATATAAAAATGTTAATCCAAGGAACAGCACTGTGCTGAGCTGTTCCCTCAGGAAAGGTGGGTAGTGCTGCTACTCTGCAGTGACCCCTGGATTTTAGCTCCCTCATCTGCACTTTCTTTGAGCTCTGCCCTCATTCCTCACCATGACCACACAAAAAGCCATGGTCCCTCCCAGCCTCCTTTCATGAGCCCTCCCTATCACACTGCTGTCCCCTGCAGCACAGTACAAGCAGCTACAGTCAAACCAGACCTTTGACTATTCAATGCTGGAATCCTAAAGCCAAGCTTTCACAGCACTAAGCCAGAACAATGCCAAGGATTTTGGTACCTAAACTCTGCCTCCATATAAAACTGAAAGCTCACCTGAAAAACTGAAAGCTGGCAGCCACCTCATCCCTGAGGCAGGTAACTCCTGTGATGCTGCAACTCTTCTAATTATTGTTTTCTTCTTCTTGCCTTGTTTTTTTCTTTTTTTTCCCCATAACTTTCAATCTTCCCATCTGTGAAGTGCTGTTTCTGGGCATGCCAGACAGCTTCACTTTCACTATTAGCACAGCTCAGGCAGAGGTTTGGTAAAGGGCAAAAAACAGACAGATTTTTTTTTTTGCCAACTGCCCCAAGGCAGAGGGACTGGTTCAGGCACGTGATGAGGGCTTGTTTGATCCTTAATGAATTGGCAAGTCATTTAGACAGTAGAACAGTGCAGATATGAGATAACAAGAGGATGAATCATCAGTTAGTTAGAAATATGTCCTTTTCTTTATTTTGTGCAAGCTCTGGGGTGGTGGGAACCCGCTGCTGATGCTGATCAGTCCCTAGTAACAAACACTGATGTGTACTTGCCATACTGGCTGTGAGAAACCAGTGTGCTGACCCAGGGGACCAGCAGAGGCTGATGGACTGGGCTCAGGGACAGGCAGAACAGAAACAAACTCTGGAGTAGCCTGCTGTGGGTAATCAGTGACCTCTGGAAAGGACATAATTCTTTTCCTGTTTTCCAGCTGCTATTGTGCTGGAAAAAAGTAACTGTTCTTCTCCAGGATAGGGAGATAACAAGCACTGGTGCCACTTTCTGACCTGCTAGGGTTAGAAAAGCCTTGGGATCAGGGACTGGAACCATGAGCCACCTGTTCCCAACAGGATGGCCTCCCAGGTGGGCAGCCCTGTGTGTCTGCAGAGGAGTGAGGGGTAAGCCAAGGGCATGGCACTTGCACTTGCTCCAGTGTGAAACTTGGAACAGCCCAAACAGGTGGGCTGCTTAAGAGCACCCTAGAGCTTTGTGGTGAGGGCTCTCTCCTGCCACTGGGGTGTAAATCTCTGCAGGCAGAAAGAACAGGATGTGGGCCTCCCTTTCTCTGCTCCCCACTTCTCCCTGGCTCTCACAACCAGCAGCACCTCCAGGATGCCCAGCAGGGCCCAGAGATAGGTAAATCCAGCTTTCCTTGGCTTTCTGATGGCACTCAGCCTAAAAGTAGGTCCACACTTTGCCCAAGCTGCAGGGATGGCCAAGGCCCCTGGGGAGCACACAGCCTCAGCAGCCCATGTGGCTCCATGGTGTCTCTAAACACAGTGGAGCCCACAGCAATTTTAAGCTAAACAGGGCAGAGCGTGTGGCAACTTGACGCCACATTTCACAGCCTGTGGTCAGGGCTTGTGCATCCCCCCCCAGCTTTAGCAGAACAGGAAAATCCCAGACACAGGGTATAAAGTGCAGGCAAGCAATAAAGAGACTTCTCTGTCACTCCAGGCAGATCTGCCCTTTAACAACCAGCACAGAAACTGTTAATATCTGCCACCACTTCTGTTAGTGCACAAGGCACTCACATTGATTTCCCCTCATTAGCTTTCTATGGATGTTTGCACCTGATCTTCCTTCTCTACTGCTCCTTTCTGTGCTAGAAAATTCCTAGCCTTCTTCCATGGAGCATCATTCGACACCCCACCAGCACACATACACTTCCTTACAAGTTATCATTATCCTGGTATCCTGCTGCCCCACAGAGTGAACTGTTTCCAAACAGCACAACCAATTCTCAGCAACAGAAAAAGTGTGCAAGTTATGCAGGTCACATAACCTGCAGTGTCTTCATCCAGCACTGTGGTCCTCAAGCTTTTCAAAGACACTCTTCCCCTTTTCTAAAAGTTTCATTTCCCCTTCTCATTTTCCTGGTTTCTACCTGACAAAAGCACCATTCACTCTCTAGCTTATCTCAAATCCCCAGAGCTCAAACATGAGGTTTCGGTTTTTTCACAGTATGAAACAGTTTGTACTACCAGTTTTCTTCTCCCAACATTTACACTTTAATTTTTCAGTAAAAACTGAATCTCAAACTCTGTGTTAGCTCAAAGGATAAACTACACTCATCTTGGAGCTGAGGAGGATGGACAACTTTTGGGTGGGATAGTGGGAGCACATCCAAACACAACAGCAAGTTTTTCTGTGGCTCTTACCTATCTTCCTCCAGTTACAGGATGTATTCTGATCCTCCCCTGAGAGAAAGCCACTGCTGCGGTAGAGGAAGGAAAAAAATGACCAGGACAACAGTCTGATTCTCCACATCACCCAGACAGCTAACAGAGTTTATTTCTAAAACAGCTGGAATCCCATATTTGACAAAGTTGCAGACAGATGGAGCTTTCAGAACCAGGTTGACACTGAAGGAGACTTAAAACACTTTTGCTGGCAGAGGTACAGCAGAGAGGTGTTGAATTCCCTGCCAGACGGAGCTGTCATTCAGCAACCCTCGGTGGAGCTGGTGATAACAGAAAATCTGTGCTCTTCTTGGTAGACATGCTTCACAAGGAGGATTTGGGGAAAGCAAGGAAACTTTGGCAGCAGAGATGTCAGTCTTCCAGCTTGAGAGCATCCTGATTAGGAGCATCTGGTGGGTCTGTGGACCCGGCGCTGTCACAACAGCCAAAGCTGCAGGAATATTTTAGCCCTGTCAGTAGGCACAAAAGCCAAAAGGGAACTGGTAACTCACATCTCTTGATCCAGTATAAGCAAGTGCACTTACAGCAAAACATATTCTTTGGATGATCACAGAACATAGTTCAGAAATTCTTTGGTCGTTAGACTGCATGAAATTCCCCTTGACTTTTTTTTTTCTCCATATGGTGACAACTGACAGTAGTGATGTGAGAGGCAGAAAAAAAAAAGCCAGTATAGTGCCAGGAGAGGGAGCATGGTTCCAGGAGAAAGTGGAAACAGCATTTTCTGCAGGGCAAGCTCAGGCTCCAGCCCCAATCCTTAGCAGGTGCTTCTCCCCACTGCCACCGCAGCGCTGAGGTCTCAGCTGCACTCACCCTGTCTGCAGCACAACACTGCTTGCCACAGGACTGCCAAGTGGGCTTAAAGCTTAATGTGGGAAGGTTCCTACTGTCTATCTGAGGTCATACCTCAGGAGGTGAAGGAGAAATAACACAGCCTTTTTCTTCTAGGAAAACAGGAGAGGTTATGTCCTTAAACATCTGTCATATCAGTGCAAATTAAAGCCAGAGTGCTGCTTTCCAAAAACTGTGAAGTCAGTCTTGGCAGGAGGACTGGAAATCAAGCACCCCTGTTGTAAAAAATTAGACACACACATATATGTGTGTGTGTGTGTGTGTGTGTGTGTGTGTGAGTACCTTGTTCTGCAGGTATTTTCACTCAAAGTGCCCAGAATGAAGTCTCTTGTCACATAAGGCCATTTGAGTGGTCCTGTGCTGGCAGCACAAGGAAGGCTGAGCTATCACTGACACTGCTGACAATGGATTCCTAGCTGAGGAGAATGTTTGTTCTCTCTAGCCAGAAAGCCTTTGAGCTATGCTCAGTTCTGGTCATCAAAAAGAAGAAAATGGCTCATTCCTGGCTAAGCATAAAACAAATCATCTGAAGGTAGGGGGCAGAAGTTGAACATTGTAGAAAAATAATAGCCAATATGAAATTAGTAACAATATACCTGCCTGTTACATGGTTTATTTGAATAATCCTCTGTATTAATACTGAAGCACTTTATCTTGGAGTGAATGTATGTACCTTCATCCACTAAAAACAGAATTTTGTGCTTTCAAATTGTTTCCTGCTCTGTGTTGCTCTAAACAGGACATTTTTGAAAAGGAATAGCAAAAAGAATCACAGAAACTGTGCACCATGAGGAGGGGGATTCTTAACCCTTCAAGTTATCTATTTTCATTTACTTACTCAAAATTTTTGACATTTTAGCAGCTGGCCAATTTTCTGTTGTCAGAATTAAAAATAAATTCTAAGTAAAGATACATATATTAGGATGAAAAAAAAAAGGTGGCAACAAATAGCAATATATATTGACCTGTCATGAGGCACAAAAAGAATTTTCTGAGATAACCATTAAATTACTTAGCATTATTGATGCATAATTTCAGACAAATAGAAAAATAAATAGGAGGCCAGAAAATGCTTTTTTCTTCAGACTGTCCCTGGTAAACTGTATAAACCCAACTTCTGCTGCACCATCATGCACTTATCCCAACAGAATAAACCAAGTTCTACTTCACAGCTAGACATGATAGGAGAAGCACCAAAGAGGAAGAGAGGCCCATGCTTCCTTTTTTCCTGCAAAGAATTCCCAGCTCACCAGAGATGGATTGCAAAAGGAAAGACAAAGGTGCCAAGAAGGCATTGTCTCAGCACTGAAGTTACATAGAATTTCATTATGATACCAGGTTGGACAAAACTGAATTGTTCTGCCTGTCCAGGCTCTGGGCAGAGTCCTCAGGAGCACAGATTCCAGCTGAGGCAGAGAAGTGACAATACCACATGTAAGAGAGAGAAAGAAGCACATTGCTCCATTCACAATGGGCTTTCCATGAACACTGTTAGATTACAAAGCAAGTAATTTATAGCAAATGCATAGAAATTTTCTAAAGAAGTGGTCTTACTATGAAAAGGAGAAAAAAGACCCCATCAAATATTAAATGTATGTTCTTAGGTGCGAATTTTCCTGTATTTGGCAAGGGAATTTTAAAAGAATAATCTTTGCTAAAAATTCATGGAGAAAATCCCTGATTTCATCGTGTACTGTTGGGGCTAGGAAGAAGTGCTTGCAATGATGTTTTCTTGTTGCAGTTCTTAAATTTTGATGCTAGCTGAGCTGATGTTAGCAAAAGTCCACAGTTCTGATAGAAAGAGCTAACAAAGGCTTGGGTCAGCTTATCCAGGCACGAATTAGTTTGTAACTGTTCATTTGTTAAACATATAATCCTTGGAAGTTAAGAATCAGGTAGGAATTTGCAGGATTTCCCTTGTGTAAACAGATGGAGGAAATCAGAAGGAATTTTTCCATCCCTCTGAAAGGAGAACCAAATGACTGTCCAAATGAGTTTTAAATAACACTTATTGCAAATAGCAGGAAACAGCCACAGCCCAGCTTGAGAGATAGAAGTTGTCTTTCTCTGAAACAAGCAGATTCTCCATTATAAACTTCTTTGGGTGGGGGGAGCAAAAAAACTTTGGTTCACAACATTGTTTTGCATAGGAATTCAAGCAGATCTTCCAAAGCTACCAGCTTGTCCAGGCTAGTCACCCATGTCTCTCTCCTCAGTAGTGGACACTCCTCTTTGGCATCCTGTTTTGTAAGGCAGACGTCTTGCACAGGTGATGGAGTCACACAGATGCATCTTTGAAAAGGAAGACAAGTGTCACTTGTGTTGCCGCAAACAAATTCATCCAATTTATTAAGCAACACACTGGAAACTTTTTGGTAAGGGGTGGGGAAGGGAGAAAAGAAAGCACTGCTATGTTCACTATTAGCTAGAAGCAAGTTATTTCGCTCCAGTAGTTATTTGTTAACAGCTGTCAGTAGCTGTGATAATGTTTGTGATGACAGAAAATTTGGAATTATTGCTTTTTGAGTAATTCTGAGTCACAGCAACCAGGGCATTAATAGATTCTTCCAGGTAGACCCAGCCCTGTGCCAGACAATATAAATATTCATTTTGGGAAGCATTCAGGCAGTTACTAAGCACGATACTTACTTGTTGACTGTGTGATGCACGAAACCTTGTAGGATGACCACATGCTTATAACACAAAGTATCGTAGCCAGGAACCCGAAAGTCTGGATGAGAAAACAAACAAACCACAAATACTTATGGAGCATTAGATGACACATATTCCATGCATGTATGGACACTTTTGTATATTCAGCTACACATTTTATGGGATTAACAGACACAAAAAATAGTGGGTTTTTTTACTCCATTCTGACAAAAGACTAAAAAACCCAGAAGTTTCTGTAGTATAATAGCAGTTTATGTCTTGTCAAAACTGAAAGACAGACTGAGAGTCATGCACAAGGAGAGAGAAACAGCTGGACAGCAGCATGGAATGTCAAGTTCTAAACTTCTCACTAGGATTCTGCAACAAAGAAAAGACTGTTTTTAGCACCTCTGATTACTGCTCTTTTACTGCCCCATTCAAACAAGTCTTTCCCTGCTGTCTGCCAAATAAACAAGTCAGGTAGGTCTCCTAGTCTGTTTGCACCATCAGGACTAAATTTCTGAAAGTAATTCTTTATTCTGGAGGAGTTGTATTTCAGGTCCTGCTGCTGTGAAAATACTGTCACCCACACTTGGAAGTCATGCCTCTCTCTGTAAAGCCTTCCAGCCAAGAGAAGCAGACAGCACCTGCCAGAAGTCAGCTCAGAGCCTCACTGGGTTTTAGCTCAGGAGAAATTATCTTGAACAGGGCTCTGTTCAGGAGCGGGAAGCGTTAAAAGCTGAAAAGTGTAATGAAATCCTTTAGGTAATTTCCAGCTGCTACAACAGTCTTTTGTCAAAAGTTAATTGTCTTAATTCTTCACCTAAACACATTAGTTCCTGTGAGTTAAAGCAGAAGCTTTTGGTTTCAATGCTCTGGCAAGACAAATACCAACATTAGTGATGAGTCCAACATCTGACAACGAAATATTTTTGTTGGCACTGTGTAACAGAACATTCACTGAAATGAGCTAGAAGGTTGTTCACCCAACCAAGACACAAGTAAGGCAAGTCTGTAAGAAAACAGAGGTACAAGTGATAGATTTCCAATGGCCTACTTAATATATATTGCAATTTTAAAAGTGTCAAGCCTAATAAACACAGTCTTACCGCTCCAGCCACAAGTCCAGTTATATTGTAACTCTTGGATGCTGCTACAATCGATCCAATGAGAAGCAGAATTGTACCAATTAAGTAATGAAGAAACTCCTGAAAAGACAAGCACAGCATGCATCAGAAGAGAAACTTATCTACAAAGCATTTTGATGTGTCTCAGAAAGAAAGTAAGTTGGCAGAGATGACTCAAACCCTCAAACCCAGAGGACAAAACATAGCCAAAAAGGGGAAAAAAAAAAGCAAAGTAAAACAAAGCAAAAAACCAAACACCAAAACCCAGCAAATCACCTTGTGAGTGGATTCTATACCAAACCTCGGTTTATGTTCAAAAACAACAGTTTGGTCAACTAATGTTACTGGAATAGGATTTACTTGCTGGGTATGGATGCAATCCTTTCAATTCAGTTCATTACTTCATTGCACCAAGTATGCACCTTACCTAAAGAGATGGTTCTGGAGCAAGGAAGGAGCCTTAAGGACACATTTCTCTAGCCTATATGAAATGGCATAAGTGGGAAACCAAATGCTCCTACTTCTGATAATCTTAGGAAGCAAGCACTGGATCTACTGCTGCATTTACAAAAAACTTACATCAGCTGAGACTGGGAACCACAGGGAAGGGAGGGAAGGGAGGGAAGCCATGAAAAGCACAGCTGCAGTAAAACATGATGCCATGGTGTTTTCTGAGAGAGGACCAAGGCACCACATTTAAATTCTTCTCTGAGATGGTAAGTATAAGTCCAGGAGTCAATTTTACCTTGTTACAAGCATGGTGTATCTGTGAATTTCTATTTTGAATCCCCACAAAGCTTATGACACCAGTACAGGTGTTTGGACACTGAACATGGGTTGTTTTTTTTGTGCATAGTGGGGTGGGGCAGGTGGATATCTGCTTCCTTTATCAGCATGAGCCAAGCAAATACAAAGGAAAGGAGAGGAGAGATTCTGTCTCAAATCAGAAGATGGAATACAATCCCAAAAGGAAATTTTCCAAGGAAAGCCCAGAAGATGAACAGTCTACCATACCAGTTTCACCCTGCTCAGGTGTTAAAAAGAGCTGAGGAGGTTTTTTCCTGTAAAGTAGGCTCTGAGAGCACAAGATACTTTCCTAATTTGTAAACTTGTTTTGGGTAATTAAAATCTCAAGCCTTGCATTTGCCAGAATAAATGATACGCACAAGGAGGCTTCTCTGACTAGCCCATGACACAGCAGCAAATGGAACATTCCACTGCCTCCTTAGAGACATCAAATAAAGCACTGTGCACAGGCTACTACTTTAGAGGAATCCAAGGGATGGGCAAAGCTGCAACAGAGTCATCAGAGGCCACATTAGGTGGAGAAGCAACCCCGGCAGGGCCGGAAGAGTGCCCCTCTGGAGAAATACTCCCAAGCTTTAAAAGGTGTCAGCAATGAACAACCTCTTGAACCACTTCAGCTTTACCGGCTGCAAATCACACCCCTGATTGCAATGTAAAGATCCTGCCAGGAAACTCATCCAAATGCTAGCTGTAGTTTTCCAGACTCTCTCACATCTTCCTCTTCTGTTCCAAAGATACTTAAATGTGACTGAAAATGAGATTGTTTGTTTTGCAACAGAGCAGCAATGTTCAAGCATCACATCCTATAAAGCTTTCTGAAGCTGAGCAGCCACAAACTTCAGTGCCTTAAACTCTGGAACACTGAGGAATAATTAAACACACAACAAAAAAACCCCAGAAGCAGCCCATGCAGAGGCAAAAATAGCATAGTCCTGTTACAGCAATGCACACATTAAATATTGCTCTGCAAAACCGTCATTTATTAGCTTACTTCACTCCTTTATTTGAATCCCTGCATCTGTACTATCTCTAGATAAATAAGTACATTTAGAAACAAATAGTGGTGGCACTATTTGAAAAAAAAAATCTAGCCATCTCTTCAGCTAAAAAGAAAAAGAAAATTAAATTTTTCTCTCTGGTTATATATGGATGGATGGACAAACTGTTATCTGAGATCTGTAAATTGCTTACATAGTTTCCATTAACCACCACCCAACCACTTCTTGGGTTTAAAAATTCCTCTCTATCTCTCCAGTTGGCTTTCCCCACTCCTTTGGCCCTTCTTCAGTGGAACTAACATATGCAAGGGACACTAACATATGTTCTAAGAGGTTGTTAAAATCCATCATCCCACACTAGGATGCAGAACTCTTCTGTTAGCTGACCTGAGCAATATTAATGAGGAAGTTCAGGTCTCACATTTTTGCTGCTGCCTGTGGCTTCTCTGCTAGGATATGAGAGATGGATGTGTATGGGAAACGGGGAATGAGGCAGGAACATCCTGCAAGATATCCCAGGAATGGCCAGGCTGTGCAATCAGGCTGAGGCTACTATTTTTTGCTGTTGTTTAAGTTATCTAAAACCATACCAAAAAGAGGCACATTTGATTTAAATAGCACTCACAGGCTTTATTTTGGAACAGGATGTAGTACATGAATTCTAAAGCTATGATTTGGTACTTCAGCAATCCCTGAGCTGCTATAAATGACCTGAGCTAGGACCCACCTGCTGAAGGCTTGATGATCAGTTACTTCCTTTCAATTGTCTCTTAATGAAATTATTGCCTTCCATATAGTAAATCTAGATTTACGTCTGTGCAAAGGAGGGCAGAATCAAATCCAAATCAGCTGAAAATCTTACAGTTACACAATCTGCTGAGCTGAATGCAAGCAACAAAAGGATTTGCACAGGAGGCAAAAAAGAATTGAGTGAAAGACAGCCTATCTTGAGTGAGAGTTGAGTGGAAAACAGCACAAGGGAATGGACTGAGAAAGCCCCATCAACCCCCAGGAGAGGAGAGGAGAGGAGAGGAGAGGAGAGGAGAGGAGAGGAGAGGAGAGGAGAGGAGAGGAGAGGAGAGGAGAGGAGAGGAGCCAGGCTTACCGCGAGCGGCCAGCTAACACAAGTCAGCCTCCTGTAGACTCTGAAAATGTGCATGATGTAGAAGAACAAAATCATAACCAGGTCGCACATGGTGACAATCTGAAAGAAGCTGTATGCACTGTAATCTGTCCATGGAGAATTATTTACACTGATGAATCCAATCAGCAGCGTGATCTGGAAGACAAAAGGCACATTCAAGGTGTTCACTTTGGTGCTCGCAGGGTTGTGGAGATGATTTTAAGCACAACAAAATGACACTTAGAAACAAAAGACAAATATCTAATGTAAATGGGGTGGTCCTAACAAAACAGACACAAAGTAACAAGCATGATAATAAGGTTTTATAATTAGCTGATAAATGAGCTGAAGCAACCCCCTGGTGAAAGAGGCAATGGCCAGAAGGAAAGCAGCAGTTTCAGCCTGAAGAACTCAACTTCAAGATGTCTCTGTGTACAACAGAAAGGATGTCAAATAGAGAAATGGAACTGGATGCCCGGAGTTGCACCAGTGACTGAAGCATCTGAAGCCCAGAGACTTTCAGGGGTCCAGTGAAAGCTGTGAAAATGGAGGTGTCCATGAACACACCTTTCATTTTCATTTAGTGACATTTCTCACACACACAATCAGGGGACCTGAGCTAACAGTTTTACTCTTCCTTTTCTGCCACCTACAGAGCAGAAGTATTAGTGGACTGTAAGGCAGTATCAGAGTAAATAATATAAACATTTGGAGGAACTGATTTAAATCACCTCAGCCCCAAAACTTTTATAAGTTAACACTGCCACATAAAACTATAAAGCATTATTGTACAACTTCTTACAGCTGTATGCTTGCTAAGGACAAAAGCCATTTCCTTTTTTTCTTTAATCTAAAGCTACTTGTTTATTTTACTAATCTTGCTGCTTCCACCAGCCTGGCTAACCTGGGAGATCAGAATAAATCTACCAAGAATATACTAAAATATTTTTTTATTACAGACTCAGTCAATGCATGCTTTCAGCCACTGTAATTTTTAGTTCATCAAAAGTCAGCCAGAAGCTGTAATGATTCACATTTTAAGTGTTTCTCCTGGACATTAAAAACTATCTGAGGAAGCCAGCACTTCAAGACTGCACCATCCTTTCCTGCACACTCATCTTCCAAACTCCTAACCAACTGCATTCATTATCAGAATAATTTCCTTAAGATTAAAAGAGAAAAAAACCCAACCACAACGCCCAAACAACATAGCTTAGATTCTCCCTAAGTGTTAGCCAGGTTTCACCTGCTCAGTTCTGAGTGGACAGGATAAACATACACATGTACAAGGGCAACCAAAAGGTCTGTATGTTCAAACTTCACAAGGACCTTCACCAAACCAACCTCCATCCAAACAGCCACATCAATGTCTTGACAGTGACCCACCTCAAAACAGTGGCTCCAGAGGAAAAAGTCGGTGCTCAGGATTCCTTCCCACACAAGTGGCTAAGCTGTTGTCACACCTGGTCCAGCTCCATTATTTTTACTGTGGCAGTCCAAGGAGCTGATATTAGCCCTGTAAATGAGCCCTGCTCTCTGAATCTTAATGTCAGTTAAGCAGAGTCATCTGACTTAGCCATTGAATAATAATAACTTACATATTAATAAAAATAACTTAACCTGAACAATCAGAAGGACATAATTTACCCTATAAGCTAGGAGCACGCTCTAAGTGATGCAAGACACAGCTATTATTTCCATAATTTAAAACTAAATTTAATGAAATTTTATTCTATAGGAAGACTCAACAACAAGTCACAGCAAGCACTGAGCCTTACTCTTGGATAAAGATGGAATGAGGACAACATTCTCTAACCACTAAAGGCTAGAAGAAGTTTCCCTTATTTAGGTGTCTTCACAATAATCAGTTCCCAGGTTTTACATGGTAAAAATCAAGAAGGAAATGTTAATTCACAGAAATATTAAATCTGCTCACTGGCTCATTTCATGCATGAACAATTAACTTTAGCAGGTTTTTTTTTCAGTATACAAAGGATAAGGAGGAGGACTGGACTCTTGAAGTACAACCACCATCCAAATAATAAAAAGCAGTGGAAAAAAACCTTAGTTTAAGCTAGACCCAGCTCTTTCAATTTCATGGAAGCACAGCAGTATTTTTCTTTTCAGTTAAAAGGTATAAAGAAATTGAGAAGCATAAAGAAGAATGCGAGTCATCCAGGGACAGAAGATACATTGCAGGTGTCACAATCCTCAGAAATCAGAAGATACATGATACCAATGAAGAATCTGCTCAACTCCTCACAGGGTAGAACCATGGATTTGAACAAACATGCTTTCCATTTCAACAGTTCTTCATGACTAAAATAATTCCAAATCCAATTAGTAAAGATTCTCCCTTTTTTAAATTTAGATATGCCTCAGCACACAGACAGGAAGAAACCACTGCATGGAAAGAGATATTTCTTTCAAAGATTTACTTTCTTAGCATAAATCTTGCAACATGAGATTTCTACAGAGTGTCTTCAGTTCATAGGCATGTGATTCTGTTTCACAGGCAGTTGCAAAGGGGACCTTTCAACAACTTTTTATAAAGCTGTACCCTATCTGCCACACTATATTGCCTGCAGATACAGTCAGAGTTTAAAACTCACCTGTTAAAAAAAGAAAGCTAACAAATACAAGTAAGAGAGCCACCCAGTATCACTTGTTCTTTGAAACTGACAAATATTGAAGTTCCTTCACCAGATACTGCTTTCTCATGATATACTAGGGGATGACTGTATCTTTTTCCCCCTGGGATTCTGGTTTCCAGAGAACTGAGTGATAAAGTGATAAATATGTAACTGTCTGGGATACAGTTGAACATCTATCTCAGAAGTCAGTCGGAGGCACAGAGAGAGAGAGAAAGGAATGGCAAAGCACTGAAGTGATCAAATGCTATGAGTGTTCTTTATGCATCTGTGCTCAGGGGAGCAGGTTTATACGCCTTGAAAATAAAAACTGGAGGCACAAAAAACCCCCAAAAAACAAAAAACAACAACAAAAAAAAAATCAAAAAACCCAGGGCACTGCTATTTCCATTTCAATATAGCACTTCACAGGTCATGACAGCAGTACAGATGTAATAACCCATAGCCAGCAAGCCAGGGTGAGCACAAGTACAGGTCAAGTGATGGGCAGTCTCATGAGATTTCAGTGTGCTCCACAATATACACCTGGGCTCCAGACCTGCATTACAAAAGGGGTGAGGGACACATTGCAGGTACTATTTAAGTGCTTTCTGGTTTCTGAGAACAAAATAAACACCATGTGCATTAATCAACCCCAAGGAGGGATTTCTGGATTTAAATAAAGTTCCACATTTACTCTGTTTCACAGAAGTCAATCAGCTTAAATGAACCCACTTCTTGACTCTCCTTTGGATCAGATATTTGAAATGAGTCGTGAAGCATGTTTAGGGACACTGGTATAGATCAGGAACTATCCTGCAGCCAAGGCAATGTGAGCTAAAGGCAGTCAGCACTTACAGACAGAAAAGACATAACAGAGCCTGCAAGACTTGCACAGAACCTGCATTCTCTTCCCTACTTGGAGCTGAAGATGAGGTAACCACATACTCACAATCTGCCTCTTGAATGGCACTGACATACCTTCCCAAGCCTGAACCCCATTCTGATTGGAAATTAACTCAGATCTACAAAAAAAAATGAAACACAATTCTTTCTTTCCTGATGTGGTCTCCTTCCTAAAACAGCCCAGGAAGCTGTTGGCCACTGTCACCACAAAAGCACATGGTTGGCTCATGGTCATTGTGCTGTCCCCCAAGACCCCAAGGTCATCTCTGGAGAACTGCTTTCCAACCTCCAGCCTGTACTGGTGCAGGGGCTTACCCTCAAATATCCCCAGATACAGGACTTGGCATTTCTCTGTGAGGAACTTGATGAGACTCCTCTCTCTCCAGACTGCCATGTTCTCTCTCTCTATGGCAGCACAACCCCCTGGCTCATCAGCCACTCCTCCCAGGTTTTTCATCACCTAAAACTTTCTAGGAGTGCACTCTGCATCATCATCCAGGTCATTAATGAAGATGTGGAACAGTGCCAGTCCCAGTATGGGCCCCTGAGGTACACCACTAGTGACTGGCCTCCAACTGGACCTTGTACCACTGATCACAACCCTCTGGGCTGGGTTGCTCAGTTTTAAATCCATCTCACTGCCCACTTATTTCACCCATACCCAGTTTGTCAGCTTGTCTTGTGAGGTTGTTATGGGAGACCAGAACCTTACCAAGATCAAGGTAAACCACATCCATCACTGTTCCCCTGTCCACCAAGCTTGTCACCTCATTAAAAAAGCAGCAAGGCTGGTCAAGCATCATTTCCCCTTTGTAAATCCATGTTGACTACTCCTGATCACCTTCTTGTCCTTCATGTGTTTGGAAATGCTTTCTAAGAGGATTTTCTTCATCACTTCCCAAGGGACTGAGGTGAAGCTGACAAACCTTTAATTCCCTGGATCTTCCTTCCAATCCATAGATATGACTTCAATCTGTTCAGAATGGCACAGCTTCCTTTTGTATTTCTCAGGTTAGAGAAGATAGGGAAAGACTGGACAAGAGGGATACATTCTCCTCCCTTGTGCTATAAAATGCCTCTGGAAGTGTTGGAAATGCTGCTTCTTTTTAAAAATCAGCTGGCTTCCTCCTTGTTTCTTCTTGTCCCTGACAAAGAATGAGCATCTGGAGTCTACTGGTCATTATTACACTCAGTAAAAAAATGAGAAAATGTGTATCAAGACTTCAAGGAAATGAATCTTCCACTGCAGGAAGATTCAACACCTTCTTAATAAAAGGAGAGAAATCATGCCTTCATATGAAGAAGAAATTATACATAGAAGGAAGATCCAACTTCCAATTATCCTAAGGCAAATGCATACTTTAGAAAAGCCCTATGGCATTAGGCCCAGATGCTGTTGTACTCCTCATTTTAGATGATTTGAATTCCACCTCTAACTCCCCATGCTCACTCTTGGGTGGCTGCAGTCCTGCAATTAGGTTACAGAGCAAGCTTGGCTCCAAACCCCCTGTCCACATGGGAGAGGGCTGGGCATGATGCTGAGACCCAGAGCCAGCCAGCCACACAACCCTCAGCCCCTCTGCTGCCTGGGTGCTCCTGTGGCTCCCAGTCCTGTCACTG